ATTTAGTTTAGAGTTACTGTTCATTTCTCTTGTGTTGTGCACATTCCTACTGTTCTGTATCCGGCGATGCAACACTGAAATTTCCCCATTGTGGGACAAACAAACGATCTCTTAATCTGAATCTTAATCTGTTACAGGGTTATAAGTGACTCTGTGTGTGTCAGGGCTCCATCACCTGCTCCTCTTGTTCTTGCCATTTCTGGAATGTTGCCTGTCCTTTTGTGAAACATTCCAAGCACAAGGATAACATTTCTATAGAACATTATTTATCCCAGAAATCTACAATACTGAGCAGTCATGTTTTTGGTCCAGTTGTGTTTCAATCCAGGCAGCTGTACTCATGTTGTATATTCAAGTATATTTAGATATATCTACGTATAGTTTCCACAAACGCTTGATCCAATGGTTTCCAGGTTTTTGTGTTTCTGTTCTAAAATGACAAATGTTTACTTTTTCTACCGTTACTATTAAATCATGAGAATATGGGACCGTTAGAATGTTGGGGATATTTATCAATCCAGGAGCAAAACTGCAGATGCAAAGTTAAACAGTGAGTGCGATTTCAGCGTTTAATTATCATGGATCCGTTTGCTCCGATGTTAATTACTTTTGCACACACACAAACGCATGACGAGTTTACCCCTTTCTGCCGCCCGCCTCATCCAGAATTGTCAAAATAATAAATACATGAAAGAAAATAAAAATAGATGTCTTTTCTCGTCTTACAAAACATCTCATATTGGTCTCCTCTGTCTCATAAATCTCAGCGTTTCCTGTTTAGACAGATCTCCGTTACTCCTCACAGCGTTTATTTCAAGAACTTTCTGGTCAATAATAGTCTTAAATTTTGGCCTATAACACAATTATGAGAATGAAACTAAATGACAAGTTTACACAGTTATATGGTTTTTTTTTTCATTCTCAAACATCTTTCATTCATTAAGTGATGCGTTATCCGTAGGTTGTCTGTTCGGAGTGGACTGACCGAGTGCTATAGTGCTGGCATGTCCAAACTAAGGCCCGAGAGCCAATTGCGGCCCGCTGTGTCGTTCTATGTGGCCCTATGTCTAGCTAACCCAAAATACCATTGATATTATAAACACAAGTTCATAGTGTTATCCAGCCAACTTTCACTTCTACATATACCTCATTGTAAAGCTCAGAACCTTTTGAATCCATTTGTTTGTATGCACTGACATTTGTTACGGCACAGAATTCATCCATTGAGAAAGCACATCATTTAGCATCTCAAAATTGGCCAATTTTTGTCAAAACAGTTTTACAATCCAGACACGTGTGGCACACTAAAGACCCCCTCTTAGGTTGAAATTTGGACACTCCTGCTGTAGTGTCACCACAGCAATTGCCACAGTGTATGTGGAAGAAGCCGGTTTGAACATGGGCAAGCTGGAGCCAATTTCCTTATATGGGCATTTGTTCCAATTAGAGTAAGCTGTACGCCATAACAGAAGCAGACTTGTGGATAACATGATGACTGAGGCAAGCTGGAGGTCCCCCCGCAGATGAAGCCATCTGATTGGTTATTCTTTTTGGCTCAGATCTGCATTTACAAAGAAGTTTTCAAAACCTAACGCCATGAGAGCACTAAACCACAGATGTTTAAGCCCAAAACAGCAAATCTTTGTCCATGAGCTCTTCACAATTGAGCTCCATTGAATGAGTGGAATAGCATTATCGATTTATATACATATAAAGTCTGGGAGTAAAACACAGCCAAATTATTTTAAAAAACGATTTGGACAATACTTTTGTTTTAAATGATGTCGTAGTGGTAATATGGCCTCTTACTTTTGGAGGACCGAGACCGGACCCTTTGAGCAACATGTTCACGCCAGAAGTTCCTGATCAGCGTGGATGGATCTAGACACAACTCCATGTCTGTGTTTGAGGAGGGATAATGTTGTAGCGCGGTCAAAAACTCAAAAAGGTCAATTTCTACTAATATGCCTCATTTAAGTTCAAACTGCATCTCCTCACCTCTGTCTACTGATCGTGTTTTATGTCATCACGCGCATGTCCTGTTCACAGCGGATTATTATCATCCTCTGTCGCCGTGGTAACCGCCGTGGCAAAATGAGCTCCGTCTGCTTTGTTCCTTGCCCGTCCTTTGTTAGCTTAGTTTCAAACGCTCGGGGTTTAGCGCTCTTCTGGATCATTAGTGAATGTATGGGACATATGAATGATGCCAAAAATGCGATTGAGTCTGTGTGTGTTTTGTGTATAAGCTTTAGATTTGACGGATTAGTGTGTGAACAGCTGCTGATTCTGAATTAGCCAAAACGATATTAAAGCTGGGGTACCTAATTTTCAAAAGGCAGAACATTGAACTGTTTAGTAAAATCCATGTGACTCTTTCCTGGCTCTGTAAGAGTTGGATTCTATTGTGTATGTTTGGCCTTTCTCACATCTTTAGATCAGATTCTAAGACAGAGAAGCGTCAATTAGTGACTCACAAAGCTCTTTAATAAAAGTATAAATTATAAAAGTTTTATAATAAGATGGAGACAGCATCTTGAGTCTGATTTCTTTCATACATTCATTTCTTAATAATTTTTGAATACTTCCATCCATCCATTTTCTTCCCCTTAATCCATTTCTGCGTCGGGGCGGGTGGCAGTCAGAGCTGCACCCAGTCCTCATAGAACCAGCCTTGAATTTTTTTATACTTGAATTTTTTAATACTTCTATTGATTCTTGAAATTTTTTATCACTCGTTTTGTGAGAGACCAAATGTATTACTTTAATGGTTGAAAAGTTAGGTACCCCAGCTTTAATACAAACAATTTCAAGAGTGTCCAAAGTGATAAATTGTTTGAACAAATCACACCGCTCACAGATTATGTCTCCTTTAAGGCATGCAGACTTAAAGGAGACGCATTATGAACGATTTTCATTCCCTCCCCAAACAGACCTGGAGAGGCTTTTAGATTCCTCCATGCTAGTATCAACTTCTGGCACAAACATGTAGCTCCAGCCCCTTCTCCTGTCATATTCCTCTAATAGTATGATGTCATCGTACTATTATGACATCACTATGACACACTGATGATCACACTCAACAGTTTTCGGCGTATTGAACCTAAATCAGTTTCTACGGTGAAATGCCGTTACAATTGCGTGAAAAAACAAAATCAACTCCTCTCTCATTGTAGCATAGGAGAAGGACAGACAGATTTGTATTTTTTACCCAGTTACCCAGTATTTTTTAACTAGTTTGACCATATATTTTCTACTGAAGATATTATGTCACAATTTAAAACATAAAATGACAAAGGAAATTACCTCTTTTTATTTGTTAGTGGCCAAAAAGATGCATACTATTTCTTCTTTAATCGTGATAGAAAACATTTAAATGTGTTATAAACTAGCGATATCTATATAAAGAACCCTGTGAGTCAATATAGGCCACTTACGGCTGAGGGAGAGAGATCTAAAAGCTGCTGGAAAACGACCTGCATGTGTAAAGTAGTGAACTTTGTGAGTTCAGCAGTTTTATGGTTTGAATGAAGTAGTTCCATCATTCTGTTTTGAAAATATAGTACCCAAGCTTTATCTGTACTAATCCAATATCTATTAATAACTCAGTACGAATTGCAAAGTAACATAGATCTGGCCCTCAGCACAACAAAACACACATATTTTTGCCTGCCAATCCACAAAGAATGGTTATCCTTGATTTCTTTGATATACCAACATTTATGGTTCATGAATTAAAGCTGGGGTACATCACTTTTTCTTGTGAATAATACATGTTTGTCCAACAGGAGAAAAATCGTTCACATACCCCAGGGTCCATCCTATTTTGGTCCAGGGCCACAACTGTTTTTAGGCTTTACTGTTTCCAAGGTCTCCTCCATTTTCTTAGTGAAGGTCACAAACGGGAGCTTATTTTTGACTAGAAGTGAACCAAAACTAGAAAAACTAAAGAAGGCTCAGAATCACGAACCCATTTTTTCAGTGTTTAGAATATATTCAGCTATGTGGTTATTTTCTTGAGAATATTAGCTTTAAAATCAACATAGCCATCCATATGTTGCAAGTTTTGAAAATTATGTAAAACCTTTGCCTACCCCAGCCAAGGACTTGTTTCATATTTTCATGTTCACAAATCATGATTTTCTAACCCAGTGAGAAGCAATCCAATATGGGAAAGTCCAACTTAAATTTTCCAGGTGGTACAAGTATAAGATAATATCCAAAACCAAACCACAAAATAAAGGCAAATGAGTTTTAATTCTTTTCTTCCCGTGGTGATCAGATCAGACTCTTTCTCTGTGCACTCTGGTTTATTTCTTGTTGATAAATTGTTCTTTCCGTCATCTTTTGGCCTCTGCTCAGGTGTCCAGGCACATCGTGGTTTCAGCCTTAATCCATTTACGCTCTTGCCTCCGCCCTTATTATAACTCCCCGATGGAAAAACAAACTGCCCCCTTCGTCCTTGCTTTTTAAATGTCAGCGCCATCATGCCAGGATGTAAGAAGAGAATCCATTCATTTTTCAAAATAAAGATTTGCTCAGACTCATTTAATAATAAAATGGAAATGATGCAAGTTATTTTGTCTTTACTTGCGGCCTGGTGTTGAATGACCCACGGCCCGGGGTTGAGGATCACTGCTGTGCACCACAGATCAGGTGTGTCAAACTCATTTTGGTCGGCGGCTAATTTGAAAACACGTAATAACTGGTTGGGGCCATAACTTTTATTTTCTTTTTTTAAGTCTGGATATTATTTATTTTTAAGTTTGGATTTAACCACCTAGTCACAGTTAGTTTGATAATTACTTTCCTTTACCATCAATGCTTCAAGTTACGGTAATTGTGATCAATTCATTTTAGGGCCCACTAAAAAGGGTCATGCAGGCCTGATTTTGCCCACAGGCCTGAGTTTGACATAGATCATATACACACTGTGGCATAATGCTTCAATAAACACGTTACTATTTGATATGAGTTAAACCGAGCTGTGTGTTTTGTGGCAGGAGCTGATCGGTGTCGCTCTGGTTCATCAGTGAAGATCGACATCACAGGTAATAACTGTGTGCGGAGAAACTCAACCACAAAAGATGGAAAGTTAGTCTTGACTTTTTGCAATTAAGTACAATCAGCAAACGTGAGAAGACTATTTTAATTCAACTTAAAGTCTTCACACAAGTCCACAGCGCTTAGTCCTGGATCAACCATGTTGTTGGAGAGACACTTAATTATAATCTACTATTTATGATAAAAGCACAGGTTTCTGCAACTAAGCACTATTTGTTGGTCTGGAGCCAAAGTAACACTGCAATCTGATGAAGATAAAAACCGCTCTTCTCTTTGTGCCAATGGTGCAAAAGCAAGAAAAAGCATCTTGTTAAACTTTGGTTAAGAAAAAAAAAGGCTGAATGAACTATAACACGCTTATTAAAGACTTGAGACTCAACTCGGACTAGACCCTCAACATTCTGGTTCTCTGTCTCTCTTACTCACTCTCCCTCTCTCTCTCTCCCCCTCTCTCCCTCTCTCTCCCTGCTCTCTCCCTCCCCTTCTGCCTCGCTGTCTTCCTCTTCCTCTTTCGCACTCTCTCTCTCTCCCCCTCTTCCTCTTTCTCCCGCTCTCTCTCTTCTCCCTCTCTCTCTCCGTCTCTCTCTCGCTCCCTCACTCTCTCTCTCCCTCTCTCTCGCTCTCTCACTCTCTCTTTCTTTCCCTCGCCCTCTCTCTCTCTCCCTCCCCACTCCCCCCCTCTCTCTCCCATCTCACTTTCTTTCTTTCTCTCCCTCTCTCTCTTCTCCCTCTCTCTCTCCCTCTCTCGCTCTCTCACTCTCTCTTTCTTTCCCTCGCCCTCTCTCTTTCCCCCCCTCACTCTCCCCATCTCACTTTCTTTCTCTCTCTCTGTCTCTTTCTTTCCCTCTACCCCTATCTCACTCTCTTTCTTTCTTTCTCTCTCTCTCTGTCTCCTTCTTTCCCTCTCCCCCTATCTCACTCTCTTTCTTTCTCTCTCTCTCAGTCTCTTTCTTTCCCTCTCCCCCTATATCACTCTTTCTTTCTCTCTCTCTCAGTCTCTTTCTTTCCCTCTCCCTCTCTGTCCCTCCTCTCTCTCTCAGTCTCTTTCTTTCCCTCTCCCTCGCTCTCCCTCTCTCTCATATATATTCTGCTGAATATGAGAAGCCATGACATACGTTTTGTTTCATTCATTCAGTGTGTGAAATGTTCCATCATTGCTCTCTTCTCTTTGGACTGTATTTGCCGCCGTGATTTCCGATCACATTCCTCCAGGCCTAACGGAAAGTGCTAAAAACAATCAATACTTTCACCCGGCAAAGTGTGGTCTGATAATTGGATCGTATGCTTCAGTTTTGCCTGTGTCTTTAACTGTGACCTACAGTGTGTGTGTGTGTGTGTGTGTGTGTGTGTGTGTGTGTGTTACCAATGGAATCCTTTGCTTCCATTGATCAGCATCAGTGTTGTACTTCAAACATGTAATGCATTATGTAAAGTGCAATCAATTGTTATGCAAACTCAAAAAATAGATAGATAGATGGATACTTTACTGATCCCCGTAGGAGAAATTCAGGTGTCCAGTAGCAGCAAAAACACATCCATCCACACAAACAAAACAAACATTTTTATTGCTCTAAAAAGCTAACAATAGTAATGATAACTAGAAACTTGCAATGGCTGAAGCCATTGCGATTGACTGCGGAACAGATCTAATGTGGAAATCTGCTAAAAAAAATCCTTGAAATCCTTTAAAAGGCCTTGAAACTGTTAAAATACTTGATAGATATTTGAAACTCCTGAAGTCCTTGAAATTGTTGAAACCTTTAAACTCCTGAAATCCTTGAAACTGTTGAAACATTGAAACTCCTGAAATCCTTGAAACTTTTTTTAAACCTGGAAACTGTTGAAAGTGTGGAAACTCCTGAAATCCTTGAACCTCCTGATATCCTTGAAACTGGTTAAATTCTTAAACAGTTGAAATCCTTGAAACTACTGAATGTATTGAAAGTGTCCTTGAAACTGAAAAATCCCCTCACCGCTGAAACAATTTGGTTCCTGTAACTAAGGAAACCTGGTCTGTGGTCATTATCTGGTGGTGGTCTGAGTCTTCGTTTGGGTCTTGGTCTGGTGGTATAATGCAACCTATTAGGTTGCATTATACTGGTTTACATGGAAAAATCCCTATTAGGTTGCATTATACTGGTTTACATGGAAAAATCCCTATTAGGTTGCATTATACTGGTTTACATGGAAAAATCCCTATTAAGTTGCATTATACTGGTTTACATGGAAAAATCTCTATTAAGTTGCATTATACTGGTTTACATGGAAAAATCCCTATTAGGTTGCATTATACTGGTTTACATGTACAAATCCCTATTAAGTTGCTTTATACTGGTTTACATGTAAAAACCCCTATTAGGTTACATTATAGTGGTTTACATGTAAAAATCCTTATTAAGTTGCATTATACTGGTTTACATGTAAAAACCCCTATTAAGTTCCATTATACTGGTTTACATGTAAAAACCCCTATTAAGTTCCATTATACTGGTTTACATGTAAAAACCCTATTAAGTTGCATTATACTGGTTTACATGGAAAAATCCCTATTAAGTTGCATAATACTGGTTTACATGGAAAAATCCCCATTAAGTTGCATTATACTGGTTTACATGAAAAAAACCCTATTAAGTTGCATTATACTGGTTTACAAGGAAAAATCCCTATTAAGTTGCATTATACTGGTTTACATGGAAAAATCCCTATTAAGTTGCATAATACTGGTTTACATGGAAAAATCCCCATTAAGTTGCATTATACTGGTTTACATGTAAAAAACCCTATTAAGTTGCATTATACTGGTTTACATGGAAAAATCCCTATTAAGTTGCATTGTACTGGTTTACATGGAAAAAACCCTATTAAGTTGCATTATACTGGTTTACATGGAAAAAACCCTATTAAGTTGCATTATACTGGTTTACATGTAAAAACCCCTATTAAGTTGCATTATACTGGTTTACATGGAAAAATCCCCATTAAGTTGCATTATACTGGTTTACATGAAAAAAACCCTATTAAGTTGCATTATACTGGTTTACATGAAAAAAAACCCTATTAAGTTGCATTATACTGGTTTACATGAAAAAACCCTATTAAGTTGCATTATACTGGTTTACATGAAAAAAAACCCTATTAAGTTGCATTATACTGGTTTACATGAAAAAACCCTATTAAGTTGCATTATACTGGTTTACATGGAAAAATCCCTATTAAGTTGCATTATACTGGTTTACATGGAAAAATCCCTATTAGGTTGCATGATTACACTGAAGTCCTTGAAACTGCTGAAGTCCTTGAAACTGCTGAAGTCCTTGAAACTGCTGAAGTCCTTGAAACTGTTGAAGTCCTTGAAACTCTTGAAATCTTGAAACTGCTGAAATCCTTGAAACTGTTGAATCCTTGAAACTGTTGAATCATTGAAACTGTAGAAATGTCTGAAAGAGCTGAAGTCCTATTAAAATGCATGGGCCTATTAAAATGCATTGCAGAATTCTCAATGCAGATTTTTGTCCGATTGCGGAAAAACCGGAAATCGCTGAAGTCCCAAAAGTAATAGCAATAATCTCCCAAACATGTGGAACGTTTTGATGTATAACTTGTGGAAATTGTTGAAAATGTGAAAGCTGTGAAACGTGTCAAAAAAAATGACGGAATAAAGAAATACAAAACCAATGGTTGACTGCGGAAGGTTCCGCAGTCAATCAATAAAATGCAACAGCCCTTCAGGTCACAGCAGCAGAGGTGGAGCAGCCTCTTGGTTCGGACCATTTTCTAAGCTCTCGTCCAAAGTAAAATGCTGAATGCCTCCAGTGGATTTTTAGCTGATCTGCTTGGTTCGGACCATGAATCCTCTCTGCTCTGGTCTGGACCAGTGCAAAACCATGAACACTACTGCAGCAACATCTCAGGTAGAAAAAAAGCAAGAAAAACAAAAATTATAAAGCACAAAAAAACAACTGTTTCATAGCTACTTAGGACTTCCTGTCGTTTCCAGTGCATTCAAAATCTGTAAAATGTATTTTTGTCCGACCCAGTGCCTGCTTCTGATTCAGCTTCAGCCATCTTCTACCAGAAAGGAAAACATATTTGAGGCGGCTTCTATTGGCACAGAATTGATTGAGTATGAAAACAAAACACTATTAAATTTCAGGTTTAAATCCAATGTCGTTTAGGCAAAAATTGAATGCACTTATCCAAAGCAATATGGTACCGTTATTAAATTACTTTTGTTACTCCTTATACTGGTCAGAAGTAGATAGACTGTGCAACTGGTCTGTCACAGTTGCATAAATGTTTTTAAAATCCTAAACGTGTCTAAATGGCTTTCAAATAATTGCATGTGTCAGTTTTACCTAAGTCACCTGTTTTGCTTGCACTTAAATGATTGGCAGCTGTTGTTTGTGACTGTCCACTTAATCTTAATATACAGCCCACAAAAATAGATATGTATCCCAGCTTAACTATTCTAAAGATGGGGTATCTAACTTCTTTTTTTTTTTCATAAATATGTTTTGTAAGAAAAATGTGAACAATCAGACTACAACATTCTGTCAATGTAATTTACAGTAATAAGATATAAATGATGTGAGAGTATTTCCCGTCTCTGCAGCAGAGCTCTAAGTGGATAAAACGCCTCCGTGCTGCAGAGTCCAGTCCAGTATCGATGACTCTAAATGACATCGCTGTGGTTTGGGCCCCGGGGCCTTGAATCCAGGGCTCTCTGACCCACTTGTGTAGATCTAACAGGCTCTGTGCAGCCAGCCAGGATTTACACACCAGCAGTGGATCACGTTGTACTGGGTTTGCTGGGAAATCACTCGCTCAGACGCCTTTTTCTGTAGTTCTGTTAAAAAAAGAAAAGAAAAACAAGATACAGTGAAAAATAGTTGAATAAGTCCGAGGTCTTTTACTTTGTGGAAAGTCAGTAAGTCAATAACTCCTCATGTGCATTTAAATTTACATTGATATTTAATTACATTCAGAT